AGCGTACTTTATAGCATTCGACACAATTGCTATTTCAAAACATTACAAAGAGTGACAGGCTACATGCTGAGATTTATCAACCAGGCCAGAAACCAATCGCGGCAGTCAGACATTCCCTTCACCGTACACGAATTGGAAAAAGCGCTTGTGGTAATCGTTCGTACAATGCAGCAATTGGACTTTGAGGAAGAGCTTCAGCACCTTAAAAAATATAATGAAGTTCGCAAAAGCAGTTCTTTCCGCAGCCTGTCACCGTTTCTGGACGATAATGGCATCATCCGAGTTGGGGGCGTCTACAAGCATTAGAACTTGCACACGATGCCAAACACCCTATGCTAATTCCACATAACAATTCACTCGCCAAATTATTAGTATAAATGATCTATAAAGAAAACCGTCATTGTGGATCTCAAGCGATCTTAGCTTACACAAGGCAAAGATTTTGGCCTATTAAGGGAAAATTGCTGACACGGTCAATTGTGCTAAACTGTGTAAGATGCACCAAAGCTAAGCCAAAACTAATGAGTCAAATTATGGGGAACTTGCCTTCAACAAGAGTAACTCCAGCAAGACCATTCATCAACTCAGGCGTGGACTTCTGCGGGCCATTTTGGGTTCACTTCAAGATAAGGGCAAAGAAACCACAAAAGGCCTATGTAGCGGTATTTTGCTGTTTTGCCACAAAGGCAGTACATTTGGAATTAGTCAGCGACTTAACGACGGATGAATTTATTGGTGCCTTAAAATGATTTATAAGCCGAAGAGGACATTGCCAAAATTTATATTGTGACAACGCAACCAATTTCGTAGGCGCGAAAAACCAGCTTTCTGAACTTTCTGACGTTGTTAATGGAAATTCATCACGAGACTCAATAGTAAAGCAGTGCAGCGGAAAGGGAATAACATTTCATTTTATACCTCCTAGGACTCTATATTTTGGCGGTTTATGGGAAGCAGAGGTAAAATCAGCTAATCATCTACTAATAAGAAGCACCTCGACAGCGTCCTTAACGTATGAAGAATTGGACACGGTAATCATCGAGGTGGAAGGAATCCTAAATTCCAGACCAATCAGCGCAATGTCCGACAATCCTAACGATCTAACAGCTCTAACTCCAGGCCACTTCCTCATAGGAGAACCACTTAATGCCCAAGTTGATCCAACGTGTGGGCCACAGCAAACAAATTTATTAACAAGATGGAAACTTGTTTCTCACCTCAAACGCGAGTTTTGGAATCGGTGGTCCCGCGAATATTTATCTGACCTTCAGCTGCGAAATAAGTGGAAGACACAACACAACAATATCAACGTAGGGGACATGGTGATCATCAAAGAAGACAACACACCGGTACTGCAGTGGCCATTAGGAAGAATCATCAATGTATATGAAAGAAACGACGGTGTAGTGAGAGTGGCTGATGTAAAAACTGCTAGTGGCACTTGCAAGAGGCCTATTCATCGGCTAGTACCCTTGCCCAAGGAAACAAATGATGCCACAGAACGACAATCAACCAACAAATTGCTTGAGGAAGACAAAATTCTATCAAGGAGGAATAATCCTTCCTTACACCAAGGACTTGCTACACTTCTGATTACCCTACTCATCTTACCATTGGCTTTAGGAGCTGAGCTTCAAAATAAGCAATTTGGATCAAGGCATGGCATTCATTTTGAAGGAATGAGCTCAACAGCCATATCAACCACCGATTGGAACCTAATAATCTACTATGACATGGAAGGATTTTTGGCAGAACTAGCAGCGCTGTCAAATGACACAAGGGTCATACGCCATTTATGTCAAGAAATCACACAAAAAAGCTCATGTCTTTCTCTCAAAACAATCACACACGTTAAGGAAAATGAACTACATCTGCTGCACCTGATCAGAAATCAAACATCCATTGTGGACTCAACCATTAACATTTTTAAACAGGATCAAAAAGCAGTCAAGAGGAAGTTCGACATCATTGATCAATGAGTCAGTCAAATATTGCAGAGGATCAGCAACGACACGCATGAGATATACCAAGAAAAATTGTTTCGAATCTTTTCCTCGTTATCCATCGAACTCACACTTATGGCAGCCAATATGCAAAGAATGCCCTCTGCAATATTTGCCGTTTGGTCCTCTTCTGCTGACGCTCAGCCAATTGCAAGACGAAGTAAATAAAATTAAACTTCACTTATCAGCACCATTCGAACTGCCTGTAAACCAAGTAAATTTACTCCAGCTATACCAACTCATGACAGTTAAGGGAGGACTTACAGAAAAGCATGTTGTATTCAGCATCACATTGCCTCTGGTAGAGCATGATCGATACGATTATTCAATCTCCTACCAATTCCTACTTGGACTAATGGGACTATAATTGAAATAAGTCCGTGTGCTGCAGTTTTGGCAATAAACAAAGCCGTCGGTCAATATTTCCCTCTGAGCATCTCCAAATTTCAATCTTGTGTGGATATTAAAAATGGAAATTACATCTGTTCTCGAATTCAAATTCGTTATACTCACGGTTCATCTATATGCGCATGTGAAGTAAATTTATTCAACAACACCCAGTCAAGTCGTCAACTGCGAAAAACACCAAACGATGTTGCATGGATATCACTACAGCAGAAAAATCATTGGATTTATACCACGTCACTTTCATCTTGTGCGACAGCAGTATGTGCAAAAAGAAATCATTCAGGTGATTCTAAAAGCATCAGGACTTTTATCACTCCAACCAGACTGCATACTCAAACATAATTTTATATCAGTTCCAGCAGATCAGTTGATATCGACGAGTCTTTGCTCGTGCTACAATAGCCTGGGAGAAATTTCCGAAGTAGCTGTAGCAGACCATATAAAGCCTCTTCTTCAATCACGGGATGATGAGAAATAATACGCATATTAGAACTCCCAACCAAACTTGAAGCCAATTGCATTGGCTTCACTCAACAGGGTATTAATTTTCGCTTGCATTCTTTTATGCGTAGCTTTATGCCTTTTAGTGTGTTCTTATAGCCAAATAATTTGGCATGTGTCAATTTACATATAAGACATTGTTGATTAAGGCACACAAATTAAAATAGAAATGTGGAATATGCTCATGTCAACAAAAAAGTGGGAACAAAGCATTTGCATTAATTATGTTTATGTAAACCAAAACGTGGGAATAAAGCCTTTACAATAATTTTGATACGATCTAAAGTTTTTATGGCCTTATTATTTAGCTACGTAAGCATTTAGTTTGTATAAAAACGTAATCATTAATTCAATAAAGATCACTTGAAAGCAATCAAGCAAACAACAGTGTTCGAACTTGGCGTAATCGCTACTGTTACGAACAAAGTGCTTGACAGCCGCAAATAGTGGACGTTTTCAGTGAAAACGGAGAAAATTGGTTAATGTTATGTGATACAATACTTTTATTTGAAAGGCCTCAGCCCATCCAATATATACTTTGGGCGGGTCTGCTCCTTCGTTTACAATAGTAAAATATTGGGTAGCAGAATTTAAACGAGGCCGACCGAGCTGCCAAGACGAGCATCGCAGTGGTCGGCCAAATGAGATATGATGAATATATGTAATCCACAAAGCGGTAATGGATGATCGTCGACTGAAAGTGCGCGAGATAGCAGATATAGTAGGCATTTCAAAAAGTACGGTACATCGCATATTATCTGAAGATTTGGAAATGAGAAAGCTGTGTCCAAGATGGGTGCCGCATTTGCTCACACTCGACCAAAAAGAGGTGAAGAGGTTTCAACTGAGTGTTTACCGAATTATTGTTTGAATTGCTACCTCATGCACCCTATTCGCCATATTTAGCCTCCTCGGACTATTTTCTGCTCCCCAACAAATAATATCGGCAGTTAATGGCTATTTTGAGGAGCAAGACAGTTCTTATCATAAAAAGGGTATCGAACTTATTGAGCATCGCTGGGAAAAGTGTATTAGAGCTGAAAGGAGATTATGTTGAAAAATAAATATATTTTTTATTATAGTGTTTTTAACTTTGCAATTAACAATTACTAATAGCGATCAGTGTTACATCTGCATTTATATTCCGTTGTTACACTTCCGAGATGAGTTACCTACAGAAAGCATTTTCAGCAAGCTGCTTAAATGGCTTATTTTAATCATTTTTGCATTTAACTATGTATTGTTAACCGGGTTGGACACGCTGCACTAAATCGTGTAAGGGTATTGAAATTTGAAATACATTAGCACTAAGTGAATGAAAACAATTTGTCACTACCACTAACCATACAGTGGTACTGAAAATTTTTTTTCACTAGCACTGAGCACTTAGTTGTAGTGAAAAAGCAATTAGCGGTACTGACAAATTGGTTTCACTACGACTATGCACCTAGTGGAAATGCATTTCACTACCTCTATATGGTTAGTGGCTATAAATTTTTGAACAAACCTTTTGTAAGGAAATGGGTATTAAAATCACAGATCCCCAAGTTTTCCTTAATTTGTAAACTAGTGTAATTAGTCAGTGCTAGTGAAATATTCGTTTACTTTCCGCTAACCAGATAATGATAGTGAAAATTCTATTTCACTGTCACTATGTAGTGCTAGTGAAATTTGAAATGCAGTGCCACTACCACTAAAGCCCTAGTGGTAGTAAAAATTTCGATTTAGTGCAATTTTCCCAACTGCAATTTGTTAATGTTAAGCTGTAAAAAATAATTCCTCCGCCTTGAAAATGCATGGCTCGTTTTACCACTCTTGTATATTTCATTCTATTCCTTGTAAATCATATTTTTTATTTTACACCTACTGTCATTGTTGCGTTTAATATTTAATTGGAGACAATGCAAGTTTAATATTAAGTACTCCTACTTACTATTTATATTGAAGAACTGCCAAAATGCTCGAAATTTGCCAAAGTTTTTATCTACTTACGTAAATAGTCCGTAGGCCTACATACATATATATAGAGAAGAAAACATCATTTTCATGCAAACTGACATATGATTTTTTCCCCCATTTTCTCAAAAGGTCGAAGTAATGCCATGGATCAGCAGCAAGCATAATATGGGTTTCGCATTCAATCGCAGCACCTGGTCCAACATACGAAAGTGTGCGCAACATTTTTGTTTTTACGATGATTACAACTGGGATTGGTCGCTGCACTATGTGTCCCAGCAGTGCTTGAAAAAGAAGCTACACGCTATGATCGTCAAAGGTCCAAGAGTCTTCCATATTGGAGAATGGTAAGATGCAGAATTAAAATATTTGTGTCTAAATACATACATACATGGTTGATTTCATTTCACACTTTCTTTTGAACCGACTTCCAAAAAAAAATTAGAAGGTTATTATTTTGTATGTACTATGTTGCCGCATAACTTTGGACCATGTTAACCGATTTCGATAATTTTTCATCGGAAATTTGGTACCTCCAGGATGGTCCTATACTAATTTTGTTTAGATCCGATAATTTGATCGTGAAGAAATTAACGATAATCTTAAAGTCGGTTTTGTTTTTTGCTTAAAAATTACTTATATTTTTTTTTAATTTACAGCGGGGTACATCATAAAAAGAAGAATTGCGAATCGAATCAAGTGATAGCAAAGGTGCAACAAGTCTTACGAATAGCACGCAAGTCTAAGCAGCTGTTTCCACGCAGTTTATCACTCACAGCGGCCAGTTTAGTAAAGAAGACCAAATTGCGGAAGGGTAACGGTGGGTGGGGTGATCGGCGGGATCATCAGTTATGCATGAATATGACGAAATCAAGCAATGAAAGTTGAACAAGAAAAACACCAAAGAATATATTGAAATAGCGAAATTTAGACACAAAAAATACACACACACAAATCACAATATAATTAACTAGAATTGTAATACACAATGCGGAACGGAAAAATGTGCACATATTTAGTAAAAAGAATTCAGTTTTTAGCTAAATACATAATTTAAGAAACTTCCTTTGAAGCGTTAACTGTTCTTGAAAATGTAAATTATTTCTTAAGAGCCATTTTCTCAAGTAGCTGTTAAAATTTATTTGCCTTTCAAATATATTTTTTGAGCGCAAAATTTGTGTTTAAAGGGCCTATCAATTTTAAAAGCTACTTCAGATAACTGCTCTAAAGGAGTATTGTTTTAACGTTCATTCAATGTTTAACATATGTATACATACATATGTACATACTTATAAAAATACGTAGTTACGAATATGTTCTTTTTGTAAATGAAAAAACATTTCTTTCTAAAAAGAAAATTCCGGATAGTTAAAAAGAGCTTCAAATAACTTCAAAGATCTTTATTCTATATGTACATACGTATGTACATACATCTGTAATGAGTTATGTCTGTACATATGTTAATGAGTGGGAATCTATGGCAAGTAAAAGTAGAATATTTTTAATTTTATTGTTAAATTTTCCATCAATTTTCAAGAACTTTTTCCAAGTTTCGGCAAGATCACACTGTAACTAGTTACTCACTCTAGATTACAACAAAAACATGGTACTGGTACGAATACTTATTCGACAATTTCGCTAGCAAGTAATTTCATCTCACTTTGTGAAATTTTTTGACAAAAGCAATCTTGGAAAAACTTTTTAACTTGCATCATTTTGTTGAAACCATATATTGTCCAAGCCAAAAAAAAACGTTGACTAATATTCGGTCTTATCGTTCCAAATCGAGGAATGGACAAATTCGACACATCTGTCACCGATCTACATAGTTATTTAAATTAACTCATTTACCATTTTCATTTACCATTTTTCAAATTGTTTGCGTTGTTGGACGCTTATATGCGCCAGCATCTCCTCTTAACGCATGAAACGTGACCACGCTGCAATCATTAATAGGCCTATTCTGCGTTGGTAACAAAAATTTTGTTACCGGTTAGTAAAGTTACTGTCAATTTTTAAACCTTTTTCGTATTATCCACACTCTTGTAACCGGTAAATTTTGTTACCATTTCATGAGCAGGTAACAAAATATTTCCCCGTGAAATATGCATACCAGAATTTCAACAAAACTTCATAGCTGAATAGCGGAATAAATTAAAACGTTACCAAGGTAAATAGAATTGCGGTTGCAAGAAGTGGTGACAATTGTTGGTAACAAAATTAGCTTGTTACAATTGTTCGGTTACAAGCAGAATAGGCCTGTAATTCTGTATTAGGTTTCAGTAACGCAGGGCAACACTGATTTTGGTGCTTAAGGCTAAGCCTAAGTGAAAGGTTCTATCATATATATTCATATTAACCCAACAAACATTTAGGTTTGAGCACAACTTGAGGTTAAGTTGAGAACTAAGCTATTTCTCAAATCTCCAACGTTGTTTCTCAAAAGTATCTCAATTGGAGGATCATAGCTTTTTCAACAAAGAGAGCATTTCTCTTTGCATGTTTCTCAAGTTGAGAAAATGCTAGTTCTCAGCTTGAACTCCAATGTGGTTCTCCTATTGGTCTCAAACATATCATTGCAATGCTGAAATTTAAATAGTAAAATATTGTATACCTTTTTGATTGAAACGACACACATAGATTAATTTAAATATTGTTTTTTTTTCTATTTTATTACTCTTTTTATAATATGTAGTTAATTAATATCGTATTACAATAATTGATTTCACAGTATACATACAGTCCCAGAGTAACTCTTCCACTTGATTCCCGTCGCGTTTTATTTTTTTGAAGATACTTTAAAGATTCTTTACTTTTTTTGGCAATTTTTCCTCTTTATATAGGTTTAGCTTTTCACTTGATAGTTGCAAATTCGTTTCTCTATCACTTTTTCCATATCTGCGCGTCGGTTAGAGATGAGTTGGAGAATGATGTTGGATATCAACTTGAGAACTATGAAGTTCTCCAAAGTTGGAGAAATATTTGTTTCGTGCTTGTAAGGAATGATCGATTCTACTGGAAACTTTAAGTTCAAACGATCTATCAATCAAATGTTTGCACCGAACCACTCACTCACTTATGTACTTGCTTTAGTTTCAACGTTCTGCGTAAAAACTTGTTTAACGGACTATTGACGTATGCATGCAGAAAGTAGCGATTGAATTCATGGAAAAATTTCGTACGTTCAATGTAACTGAAAACAAGAGAAATATTAAAGAAATCGTAAAGAAATCATTATTTTCCTTTCCAACTTTTTACTGAATTTTCCAAAACGAAGTGAGCTGTACACATTCGATTCTTTACGAAATTTCAGTAGAACACCGGCAAAAAAAATGATAATAATGCTGCACTGGAAAAAAGCCTTCAAAATTGTCTCTAAGTCCCCTTTCAGACACGTCAAGTCTTGCTTTCAAGTCTGCTCGTTCGTAGGCGAAGGAGGTGAGAAGAGAGGGGAAGAGTACGGATACCTCCGTACCGTCAATTCGTTTCAAGTTTTCTTTTCTCTTTTGATCTTTTCGTTGCTTTCCATTTAAAGAACCAAGGACTTGCATTCAATTAAAGTTGACGCGTGTGGAAGCAAATAGAAAACACAAAAGAGAATGCGAAAAAATTGCTTTCAAGACTTGACGTGTCTGAAAGGGGACTAAGAAATAGTACAGACATTTTTTTACGAGTTCATATCAACCCCTTCATATAATTTTCTTTGAAAATTTGTAAAGAAATCGTTATGGAATTTGTAATATATTTCCTTAGGGTCAGATTTTCAGTGGCAGTTTAATCTCAGATCACATAAACTGCATTCATATTTAACAGCTGGTTGACATTTGATTGACTAACCTTAGTCAAATCCAGCTAACTGGCCCCTATAATTTCGTAAGAAATTTGAGAACTTTGGTTTGCAGCAAACTTGACGATTCTAAGAGAATGGCGAAAATAACAAAAAACGCAGAAAGCAAATTACACAAAATGCAATACAAACCCGTTTTTTTTTTAAATTGTAACAGTCTTTTAGTAAACGGGCGACATCTATATATGTACATATGCAAATATTTAGTCACACATACATGCATATCCTTACGAATTAGGTTGATTGAACCGGCTTTTTCCAAACAGGTTTTACCCAGGATTTTTCGCCTGGTTTTTTGAAATCTTGATTTTTCTAATATCAAAAAAAATGGAACAACCCGAATCTTTCCCTTAGCATCTTTATAAACAAAAAGTAAATGCTTACTGATTCAGTAAGTACTTTCCCCTGAAGAGTCCTTTTAAAGTATGCTTTTTGTTGAAACAAATGCAAATATTGATCCCTTTGATAACTCTAATAATTCAATACTTGATTTAAAAATTGTTCAAATAAAGGCACTAGTAATATTCAAAACCCCGAAAAAATTTCAGAAAAAACTCAGAAATATTTTAAAAAAGTGAATGTGCATTTTAAGACTCAAACTCTTTTTAAATTTAATACACGGTAGATTTACTTCCAAGCATTTGAATATTGATTAGATCTCTTTTTTTGTTTGCTTAAACCTTAATCAAATTTCGATCCCATTTTCGCAAAGGACAACTATTTATGGTGCATGTTTGTCCCTTGCCTGGGGCAACTATCGTAACCTTACACCTTACAACCTATCTTAACCGTATTACAAAATTAGTCTGTTTTGTTGTTATCTAAGCTGTAACTGTTGTTAATAATTTTGTTGAATTTTTGGTTTTGATTTTTGACTAATATAAAATGCTCGCACCGCTAGAAAAATATTTAAATACATATTGTATAAACTAGAGATGGGCGCGTGAGTGATTTTGGCTCACGTTCATGCACGCTCATGTTGATGATTTTGGAAATCACGCTCACTCACGTTCTCTCTTTTCAATAAATTTTTTAATCACGCACGCATTTTCACGGACATTTATTTTTTCAAATTAAAACTTTCATTATATAAATAGAATTTCATATAAATATTGTTACAAAAGCTTGGCCAAACACCTTGCCTGGGATGAACGCACTATTACTTTTTTTTACAAATGCCAGATATACGTACATATGTATGTATGTGTTACGAGTATAGAAAGAATTCCCATCAAAATTCATTCAATGTAATTTTAAAATTACTCATATTTTTTTTACGTATATTTTGTCGAGGTTATCACCAAGCAGTCGTGCAAGTCTTTCTTGTAGAATTCTGCCTGACACAGAAAACACTCTTTCAATAGTTTCTGAGCTGCTGATATGCATAAAATTTGCCTTAAAAAACTTCTAAGAAGTTGAAAGGCGTTGCTTTCTCTCAAAATTTTAAAACACCGTTACGACATTGGTTTTCTGATTTTTTTTTTTGTTCAAATAAATCTGTATTTCCGCATTAATGTCTTCAAAAACTGTTTCTGCAGATTCATCGTTTGCACCTTCGAATTCCTCAGAAGTGTATACAGCAGGTACAGTAAGTGATATTTCTCTCAAAACCACTCACGCTCACGCGTGAAAAAGGGTGACACAACGTGTTACGTAGAAAATCACATGTTTTGCCCGTTCTAACCATTAGTTCAGTTTCAAAGTTGGAACATTCAATTTGCCATTTTTTTCGAAAATCCAGGAAGGTAGTTTGAAAAAAGTCGAATAATCGAACTCCCTAATGTATACATATGTACATAAGTACCTATGTATATGTATACAGTTTCCTTTGTATGTTTTTGTACAGAGGGTCAATTCTCGTTCTGCGTTATTGTGACGTGATACAAATAACACTTTCACACCGCACTTATTTCGGTGTGAATTTTTGGCTTTACACTTCACGATAACGCACAACGGGAATTGACCCCTAGAATTCATACATCGAGTAAGACTTCTATTGAATTATTTATTGTTATGAAACTTTGAAACAAGCACTTAATAAAACATGCACATTTTTGTGATGGTATTGTGCTAGCTAATAAAATTACGAATGTTTTCAACTTTTAGCGCATAACATTAATAAGAAAAATATATTTCCAAAAATAAAACATACATATAGCACTGAAAATACATCTAGTCATAATTTAATTAATACTTACGTATAGGAATTAACGAAAGAAAAAGTAGAATATATAGATCACAAACACTAACAAAATGCCAGTGTATAATTTTGTTTTTGTACAACAAAAGTTAAACCAACCAAATCTTATTGTCATAAAGTAGCTGTAGAAACTAGAAGATAATAAGAATTTGACTAAACATACAACATTTATTCTAATACAATAAATACTAATAATACATGCATATTATAAATTAAGTTTCCGTCCAAACATACAAATTTCTTTCATTAAAACATTCTTTAAAAATGTTTCGAAAAAATTAATATCATTGCAAATTACGCATTTTCTTTTATAAAGACGCGGACGCACTTTCATGGTTTCG